AGAAGAGGGGGGAGGGGAGGGGAGGGGAGGCTAGGAGACGAGAGGGAGACTAGAAGATTCTATGCTGCTGAATTTGAAAATGGACAGAGGGACTAGGAGTCATGGAATTCAGGCAGGCTCCAGAAACTTGAAAAGGCAAGGAAACAGATTCTCCCTCAAAGCCTCTCAAAGGAGCCAGCTCTGCCAATATTTTGACTTTAGCTCATGAGCCTGATTTTGGACTTCTAACTTCTAATGATGAGAATAAATCTGTTCTATTTTAAGCCACTACATGTGTGGTAATTTGTTACAGCAGCAACAGGAAATGGATACAATATATGTAAAGTACTAAAGAGACTACCTGGTACATTACAAAGACTCAAAACAACAACAACAAAAATAGTTCCTTCTTTTCTCCTTTCCCTCATGAAAACGGACCAAATCTAGCAGCCCAAATCTAAAACCACTTCAACAACACTTTTCCTGGCATCTTCAATGACTTACGTAACACGATCTGCAATGCCCTAATATGACCTGCTATCATACTAGGATAAACATGGGTGCGTTCATTATCTACCCAGCCATGAACACAAAAGGACCAGTTACTTATTCCACTGAAGTCTGCACAGAGGAAAAACAACTAGTCCCCAAGGAGAGCCAGGAAGCCTACTGGCTCCCTAACCCATCCCGTCCCCCCTCCGGGGTACAGATCCCAGTTTACCAGGGCCTGTCTGTGCCTGGCTTGACCGGTGCTTTCTACTGGAACGCAAATTTTGTCTTATCCAATCTACAGCATGGTTCCAGATGAAGGGAGGCCATGTAAAAACTCTCTGAATCACATTACTTTAAAACAAAGACAACATATACATGGAAGAGGGTTTATTTTCTTTCCATTAAAAAAGCAAATCCAGTTTTTATGACTACAGAGGCAAAATTTATTTCCACTGCCCATGCGGTTAGGAGAGAAAGTTCTTGTTTTGCTCTGAATCCAGCTCTCACCAATTCCGGAGAGTCTATTACAGACTCTGGGGAAAAACACTTGCTGTTTTCTCAGCTTTGATAAAGAACCCTCTATTTCACGGACACAGTGCTCAAGAAATGGCTGTGGCGTTTCTTGCAGGATTGAGACTTAAGACAAAAGTCAAAACTCCCCGAGAAAATACCTTCTAGCCCCAACGGTGGCCCTGATGCTAATGCATTACCTCTCCCACCTGGTAAAAAAAATCATAGCTTTTAGTGTTTCCACGTGAGAGCACTTTCACGGCAAGAATATAACTCTGAGCAAATCTCTGCAAACATTTTTCATTCTCTCATCTCCCCAAATCTTACAGCACAAATAGTCACTTTATTCAAACATGGTTTTTAGTCTCTAAAAATTCATCTCATTTGCATCTAGGGAAACTACCACAATATCTGAAGAAAAGAAAGCAAAGAGCGGAGCGAGGTTGAAAAGGTTTCAGAATTCCTAGACACCTCCCAACAGCATCAGCTGCTACAGACCCCAGTGGGGTTGTCGGCGTGAGGCTTGCTGGGCTCACCTGACATTGGCTTTCCTCTCCAAGGAGTAAGGTCAACGCTGGGCGACGCTGTGAAACAGGCTCAGGAACGACTAAGATGGCGGCTGCTCAGCCAAGATGGCGGCTGCGCAGCCTCTGGGAGCATCAGCTCCCTCTGAGGCAGCTGCTGATGTAGAATACTAAAATAGATGGCACTTATTTTATCCTTATAGATGCTGAAGCAAATTCTTTTGCTCAGCACGCACCCCAGTCCTTGAATGAAGCAGTTTGAAGGACACTGCTCTTTGCCATAGTGACTATGGATGAAGCAAAGACGGTTTGTGACAGAGGCTGGGCAGGAAGTGACATGTGGATCCCGTGGACTCCATTTGGTCTGCAGCTGTACCAGGACCAGCTGTCTCAGGGGCTGACCCTCTGTGTGAAGGACACACAGATTGCCACTGGCTAATTTGTATATATTTCCTTACATCTATCAGATCGTGTCTGACTGATGTTATTAACTAAGAGAAGTTTTTGTTCCCACTTAATTACAAGCCAGTCTGAAGAGAGAACGAGCATTCATTCTAACTCTAGAAACACATTTTCCGAAGCCCTAACAAGAAAAGTACCACCTTCTGGGCACCAGACCCTGGAAGCGGGTTCCCAACTTCAACAGCAAAACACATTTTTGGTATCAGATTATATTTTATTAAACATCTTTACTACAAGGTCTTCTTCTTCTTTCAAAGTGTCCCTCTTCTCTTTACTTATTTTTTAAAAGGTTCCTTTGTAAAAAGCTAGTAAATGCCCTTATAATGCCTTATAACACTCTCACAATGGCCCCACAAATTCTCTAGCACACAGGACGCCACCGCTCTAACTCCCGGGCCACTAAGGTCACTGTGTGGCATCGGGCAACTTGGAAGCCACTGTGAAAGGCTGACCCCGGGTTCTGGTTGCTCAAGGACTCTTCAGAGAAGTATGTACTGCAGATGAGGTCGGTAGCCTGACTTACTGCTTTTGTCAGAGCTGGTACTATAAATATTAGGTTATATAATCTGTCTACTTGCAATGTCAGTTCCCTCAGCCTTGGTGCGATTTTGAAGTAGATTTTGGAGGTGATGGAACAGAAAGTTAAATGTGTCTGTCAGGACATCCTGATAGAGTCCCTGCTGTTTTTTGAAAAAGGAAACCATCTATCCTAAAACATCGGGACTCTACAGAGAAAACAGTCATGAACCCTAAGGACTGCTTGTTGAAACTGTGGAATTTTGTAGAACCCAGATTTAAAGTACTACTGAACATAGGTAAATGGAAACATACTAGATAATGGTCCCAAGTTAACAACTGTCTATACTTCTTTAGGTTGAATCCAGAGTTTGAGATGCACAGAAATCAAAGAACTAAACATTTGTCCCTAAATGCCTTTGCTATACATGCTGTAACAGAAAATGCTTCCTTTTTAAAGATTTATTTATTTGAGAGAGAGAGAGAGAGAGAGAGAGAGAG